GTGGTGTAGTGGGTTACGTGTTGGACTGCTAACCACAAGGCCAGCAGTACAAACCACCAGCCACTGTGTGGGAGAAAGATAAGACGTTTTCTCCCATAAACATTTACAGCCTCAGAAACCCTATACAGGCTCAATATGAGACAGAACTGACTCAAGGTGTACAACCACCACCACCCACCACCACACACATTTAGCCAACTTTTTAGTCTTTTTAATTTGTTGTCCTCCCAGATTTCTCTCAAAACAATCAATTTCTGTTGTTTTGTTTAAGTCCATTATTGCTATCACTATTCTAATCTATATCGTTGGTGGGGGAGGTCTTCCTCTTTTTCACTGACCCTCCACTTTACCAAGCATGATATCCTTCTCCAGGAACTGGTCATTCCTGATAATATGTCCAAAGTAGAAGAGACAAAGTCTCACCATCTTTGCTTCTTAGCTGTCCATGATACTTTTAGCATTCTTATTCAACACTGTAGTTCAAAAGTATTGATTCTTCTACTGTCTTCATTATTCATTGTACAGCTTTCAGATGTGTATGAGGCAATTGAAAATACCTTGGCTTGGTTAAGGAGCACCTTTGTTCTCTTAAAGTGACTTCTTTGCTCTAGATTTTGTTGTTAAATCGAGTCTGTTCCAACTCATAGACACCCTTACAGGTTTCCGAGGCTGTAAATCTTTACGGAAACAGAAAGCCTCATCTTTCTCCTATGCAACTGCTATTGGGCTCAAACCACTGACCTTGTGATTCACTGTTGGAGAAGATTTGCTAAATGCAATATGTTCTTTGAGTTCTTGACTACTGCTTCAATGAGCATTGATTATGGATCCAAGCAAAATGACATCTTTGGAAACTTCAGTCTTTTCCCCGTTTACCATGATGTTATTTATTGGTCCAGTTGTGGGGATTTTTGTTTTTGTTACACAAGGTGCAATCCATACTGAAGATGTTCTTTGATATTCTTCAGTATTTCAAGTCCTCCTCACTTCCAGCAAGCAAGGTTGTGTCATCAGCATATCTGAGGTTGTTGATGCATCCTGAAGCCACGTTCTTCATATAATCCTGCTTCTCAGATTGTTTGCTCAACATGCAGATTGAGTGAGTATGGTGAAAGGTTTACATAGTCCTGTACCTTTACATAGTCAATTAAGCACAAGTAAACATCTTTCTGGTATTCTCTTCTTTCAGGCAAGATCTACGTAACTTTAACAATGATACCTCTAGTTTCACCTCTTCTGAATGTGATTTGATGTTCTGGCAGCTTCCAATATACTGCTGCAACCATTTAAAAATTATCTTCAGCAACATTTTACTTGCATGTGATGATATTGATATTGTTCAATGATTTTCACATTCCGTTGAGTCACCTTTCTGTTGAATGACTACAAATATGGATCTCTCCCAATTGGTTGACCAGGTAGCTGCCTTCCAAATTTCTTGCCATAGACAAATGAGTGCCTCCAGCATTGTATCAGTTTGTTGAAACATTTCAGTTTGTATTCCCTCGTTTCCTGGTGCCTTGTTTTTTTGCCAATGCCTTCAGTGCAATTTGGACTTCTGCTTCAATACTGTCAGCTCTTGATCATATATTTTCTCTTGAAATGGTTGCACATTGACCAAGATTTTTGGTATGGTGACTGTGTATTTGTTTCATCTTCTTATAATACTTCCTACATCATTCAATTTTTTGACAATAGAATCAGCCCTTCAGTATTGCAAATCGAGGCTTGAATTTTCTCTTCAGTTCTTTTAGCTTGAGAAATGCTGAATGTGTGCCTCCCATTTAGTTTTCAGACTCAAGTCTTTGCACATTTATTCTAATACTTGACTGTCTAATTTTTGAAAATTTCTGTTCAATTCTTTGACGTCATCTTTACTTCCAGTTGCATCAGCTTCTATATGTTCAAGGGCAAGTTTCAGAGTTTCTTCTGACATCCATTTTGGCCTTTTTTTTCTTCCTCTCTTTTTATTGACCTTTTGTTCTCTTCATGGAAGATGTTCCTGACGTCATCCCACACATCCTCTGGTCTTCCGTCATTAGTGTCCAATGCATCAAAACTGTTCTTGAGATGGTCTCTAAATTCAGGTGGGATATACCCAAGGTCAGGAGCATAGTGGCTCTATAGGATAAGCACTGTACTGCAAACCACAAGGTCAGTGGTTTGAGTCCACCAGCCACTCCACAGGAGAAAGATGAGGCTTTCTGTTCTTGGAAAAGATTTAAAGTCTCAGAAACCCTATATGGGCATGCTATGAGCTGAAACCGACTCCACGGCAATTAACAATAGCAACAATACTCAAAAGTGATATTCTGGTTCTCATGAACTGGTTTTACTTTCTTCATCTTCTTGCTGAAGTTGCTTGGTGATCTGTTCCCCAGTTGGTCACTGGTCATGTTTTGGCTGTTGATGTTGAGCGTGTCTGTCATCTCTTCCCACAGTTTAATTCTTGTTTTCCATCTGGTGAGGCCCATGTGAAGAGATATTGTCTATGTTGTTGAAAAAAACTATTTGCAATGAATAAGCACATAATAACCTCACTCATTGCTGTCATGTCAATTCCAATACATAACAACTCTTAGGACAAAGTAGACTAGCCCTATAGAGTTTCCAAGGCTTTCAATCTTTGCAGAAGCAGACTGCCCCATATTTCTCCTGTGGAGCAGCTGATGGGTTGAACTGTCGACCTTTTGGTTACTAACGTAACACTTCAACCACTGTACCACTAGGTCTCCTTCTAGTACATAATTGTTGCTGTTATTATGTGCTGTCAATCGGTTCTGACGCACAGCGACCCTGTATAGGATTTATGAGGAGTGACTGGTGAGCTTGAATTGCCGACTTTGCGGTTCTAACGACTTTGCGGTTCTAACGACTTGGCAGTTTCAGGAGCGATTTGAGCTGAAGGTCTCAGACTTGGGGGCGGTTTAACCAAAGGATTGCAACTGAACAGTTGTGGTCCAGAAAATCGGGCTGCTCCCAGGTCATCTTGCCCCGCTGAAGAACTTGCAGGGCTGCTTCAGGGGACAGGGGGACTTGCAAGGTTTTTTCCTTGTATGACCTTCATTCAGTTCAAGTCTGCAAAAACATCTTGCCCTATCTCTGTCTCCTTAGCAACCACAAGTTACATTCTTCTGATAAAGTCCTGCTTACTGCTTGCATCAGTAACACCAGATGTTATTCTTTTCCCTGCCTCCAGCACTCTCCTTTGATTTGTGTCTATCGGGAGCTGCAGTATCTCTCTCAGAGTACTGCATCCCACCTGATCCCAGATTTACTTATTTCAATTGTGTCTTGTGTCTTTCTTTTATTTCTAATCTCCCGTTGCCCCTACTCAGGTCGCAGAATATAGCTACTTGTCGGACGTGACAGCAGTCCAGCACCTTAACCCATAGCGCCACACCAGGACCCTCTAGTATATAACAGGCAGAATCTTGGGTTGCACTGTAGGATAAGCACTGGACTGCAAACCACACAAGCTCAGTGGTTTAAACCCACCAGTCATTCCTTGGGGACCAGGCCTGTACAGGGTTGCTACAAGTCAGAACTGAGTCGAAGGCACTTAACAACAATAACAACAATTAGAATTTTATTGGGTCTGAATACTATATCATTAGAAGGTATTCTGAAAAATGTAGCATAGACTAGTTAAACATAACAAATAGTTACCTAATTTTGAAATACTGAGACTTGATACTTTTTCTTATATTTAAAAGGACATATACATTTAGTAGCAAACATTTCAGGATTTTTATATTTAATAAATACATTATTGTTGTTGTCACATTCCATTGAGTGGGTTCCAATTCATAGCAACCCTCCATAGGGTTTTCTAGGTTATAATTCTTTGTGGGAGGAGAAAGCCTCATCTTTTTCCCTTGTAGTGGTTGGTAGACTTGAACTTCCGACCTTGTGGTTGACAGTTCAGTTATTATCCTCTAGAGTCACCATGCTCCCTAGTAAATCCATTGCAGAAGATTTATCATGATTTAAAAATTGCTTCAATTTGATGTAGTAAGTGCTTAATAAATTTTTGTTACTATTTGTTGAATTAACAAAAGGATAGCTTAGTGTTATTCATTTTCTTTGGTTTAATAATTATTTTTATTTGTTCCTAAGGTATCTTCATGTTTTAATGATCTTCTGGTCATTTGTTGCTGGAGTCGTCACATTCTACTGCTCATTAGGACCTGATTCTCTCTTACCAAATATATTCTTCACAATAAAATACAAACCCAAGGTAAAATTTATGTGTTCTTATTTTAATATAGTTGATATGTATGACTCTATGCATGTAATATTTATCACTGAAAGCATATTAAAGTGGTGGTTTTTAAAGCCCCATATGTTGTTGTTGTGTGCCTTGAGTAGGTTCTGACTCAACCCTGTATAGCATTTCTGAGGCTATAAAATCTCTATGGGAGCAAAAAACCTCATCTTTCTCCATCCCATGGACCTGCTGGTGGATTTGAACTGTCAGCCATGTGGTTAATAGCCCATTGTGTAAACCACTACAACATCAGAACTTCAAATAAGCCCATCCTGGTGTGGTGCTGTGGGTTAGTGCGCCAGACTGCAAAGCCGTTTGAACTGTGAGGTTGGTGGTTCAAGCTCACCAGCT